CATAAGAGATACTGGTTTGTAGGGACATACTTCATGCTGCACTGAATAGGCAAGCTCTGATTCCTTCTTTCTCCAAATTGTGTGAAGCTCAAAATCCTGTTGGGATTTAAGGGAGTTGGGGTAGGATTGCAAAGTATTCTTCCTTGCAACTGATTAGATGCATGTCTATAAGCATTGTCCTGTAGTCCTAGTGAGCTGATAGATCAAAATCATACACCAACTTCCTAGCCTCAGTGCAGTGTGATTGGAACCCAAATTCAAGGCGGTGCTTGGATTGTAACCCTTAGCAAGTTAGGAGATCTGACTCAGGATCATACTTTGCTATCCTGCTCTGCACACAACCAGCCCAGGTGCTGTGTCTGGGTTGGAAGGCTACCTGTCCAGTAGCACTGAGTCACCAGCACAACTTGGTGGGGACTGGAAGAGGCAGAATGTGTCTCAGAGTTTAACCACTGGTCTAGGACTTCAGGATATGTTCATTCCTACAGAACATTTCCTTACCTTGGATTTTATTATTCATCTCACCCATCCTTATGTCTCCCATAAGGAAATGGGCTTAGATTAAGATTAAATATCACAATATTTCTTAATCATTCTAATTAGTATCTTTAACTACTGTCTAATGATCTTAAGTAGCTTCTGTACCTATTCCCATCCCACTTTTTGTAGAAGGTGTGTCAACTGTTTATGGGGTGGTTCGGCCCAGTTCTGTGACTAGCGCAGTGGGGGAACCCACAGACCCATGCCCTGGAAAGAGAAAACAGCAAAAACGATCTGAGGAGAAACAAACTGATTTACTAAATATGAGATTGGAATGCAAGGTAACACACTCTAATACAATATAATACAATATAATTAGAATTGAAGCTAATAAATCAATTTAAATGAGAGAGAGTGTCTGAAAACAGAAAGCCTTACTCTAATGCTGAGGCAAAACGTGCAGTCAGGGTGAGCAGAAGGGGAGAGAGCCAGGTCTTATGACTTTGCCAGGGACCTTATCTCCCTTGCTAGTATACAGGGAGATGGCAGGACCATCATGATTGATCGATCCTCTGGTGTTGACCAACAAGATGGCTTCTGCCAAATGCTTCTCCCAGTGCTTAAATGTTCCGCCATACATTGCTTTCAACATGGTTTTTAACAACTCACTGTGTCATTCAGTTTTACCAGAAGCATGATAAGGGATATGATAAATCCATCCAATGCCATGATCTTTGGCCCAAGTATTTACAAGAGAATTTTTGAAATGAGTCCCGTTATCTGACTCAATTCTTTCTGGAGTGCCATGTCACCATAGCACTTGTTTCTCAAAACCTAATATGGTGTTTTGGACAGTAGCGTGGGGTTCTGCATATGTTTCAAGCCACGCAATGTTGCCTCCACCATGGTAAGCACATAACACTTACCACTGCAAGATCGTGGCAAGGTGATATAATTAACCTGCCACACTTCCCCATATTTATACCTTTGCCATCGACCTTTCCCCCAGAAAGGTTTCATCCTCTTGGTTTGTTTAATTATGGCACATGTGTCACAGTCATTAATAACCTGTGCAATAGCGTCCATCATTAACTCCACCCCTTGGTCTCTAGCCTACTTACATGTTGCATCTCTTCCTTGATGGCCTGAGGTCTCATGGGCCCACCAAGCTAGAAATAATTAACTCTTCTGTTGCCAGTCCAAGTCTATTTGAGCCTTCAACCTTAATTTTAGCAACTTGATCTACCTGATGGTTATTTTGTTGTTTTTCAGTAGCCCAACTCTTGGGCACATGAGCATCCATGTCTTTACAACCATATCGAATAAAGTATTTGAGCAGCAATGTTTTTCCACAGTTCAGCAGCCCAAATAGGTTTACCCTTCTATTGCCAGTTGTTTTGCTCCCATTGCTGTAACCACTCCCATAAGACATTTGCCACCATCCATGAGTCAGTGTAAAGATAAAGCATTGGCCACCTCTCCTATTCAGAGACATCTAAGGCCAGTTGGACAGCCTTTACTTCTGCAAACTGACTCAATTTTCCTTTCCCTTCCGTGGCCTCTGCAACTCCTCGTGTGGGGCTTCACACAGCAGTTTTCCATCTGTGATATTTTCCCACAGTATGACACGATCCATCAGTGAACAGGGCATATGTCTTTTCATTTTCTGGTAGTTCATTGTATGGTAGGACTTCTTTAGCTTGCAATATTTCTTCTGGTTGTGATGTTCCAAACCTTTTACCTTCAGGCCAGTCCATGATCACCTCTAGGATTTCTGGACAACTGAGATTCCCTATCTGAGCTCGTTGAGTAACCAATGAAATCCACTTTTTCCAAGTGACATCAGTAGCATGATGGGAAGAGGGAACCTTTCCTCTGAACATCCAGTTTAGCACTGGCAGTCAGAGCGCCAAAAGGAGCTGCATCTCAGTACCAATTACTTCAGAAGCAGTCCAAACCCCCTCATGTGTGGCTAAGATCTCCTTTTCAGTTGGAGTGTAGCACTTTTCAGACCCCTTGTATGCTCTACTCCAGAATCCCAGGGGTCGGCCTCGTGTCTCTCCAGAGGCTCTTTGCCACAAACTCCAAGTGAGACCTTTCTCTCCAGCAGCAGCATAGAGGATGTTCTTCACATCCTATCCTGTCCATACTGACCCTAGGGCTATGGCGTGGGCCATCTCCTGTTAATTTACTCAAAAACCTGCTTCTGCTCAGAACCCCATGCAAAATTATACTTCTTCTGTGTCATCTGATAGAGGGGGCTTACAATGAGGCTGTAGTTTGGAACATGCATTCTCCAAAAACCCACTACACCCAGAAAAGATTGTGTCTCTTTCTTATTAGTGGGCAGAGACATGGCAGTGATTTTGTTGATCACATCTGTTGGAATGTGACCACATCCATCTTGCCACTTTATACTTAGGAACTGAATTGTATGGGCTGGTCCTTTCATTTTGCTTCACTTAATAGCAAAACCAGCATGCAGAAGAATTTGGATTATTCATTCTCCTTTCTTGAAAACTTCTGCTGTTTCCACCCCTGGGGCAAATTGTTCCTCCAGGTGAAAGTAAACTGTGACCTACATTCTGTGGCCAAAGGAATGGAAAAGAAGGCATTAGCAATGTCAGTGGTGGCATACCATTTGGCTGCTTTTGACTCCAGTTCATAATGGAGCTCTAACATGTCTGGCATAGCAGCACTCAGTGAAGTCAGTGGTGTGACTTCATTCAGGCCACAGTAGCCTACTGTCAACCTCCATTCTCCACTGGCTTTACACACTGACCATATGGGGATGTTAAAAGATGAGTGAGTTTTGCTTATCACTCCCTGACTCTCTAGTTGATGAATCAAATTATGAATGGGGAGCAAGCAACCTCTGTTGGTGCGGTACTGCTGTCTGTGCACCATTGTTGTGGCAATGGGTACCTGTTGCTCTTCCACTCACAGCAACCCCACAATTAGATGGATCTTCTGACAGCCAGGGTATCCGAAGCACAGCTCATAGTGCAGCCATCCTTGCCTTGCTCCATCACAGTGATGGCTCTTCCCACCGCATGGCCTGGCCCAGTCCCGGGCACAACCATCGCTGAGCACCAAGTGAACACTGGTGCACTATTAGCTTCATCTGGGCTGAAACTGGGACACAAGGAGGGCACAGTGCAGTTCCAACTCAATCTACGGCAAAAAATATGCATTATGATATCTGGGCTAAACACAGTTCTGTGAGCATCGAAAATATGCAGCTGTGCTTTCTCTTTTGATAAAGGAATTTGAGACTAAGTTTCAAAACAGCCAAAAAAAAACATCATTTTTTTTTATTTGCAACTCTATTTTCAGTTAACATAAACACATGACCTGCAAATTTTCTAATGGAGTGTATGGAGGTGCAATCCAAAATGTGATTAAGTCGCTTTATCAGACTTCTGTAAGACCTCTCTTATCACAGAGAAATACCCCTCACTCCACCACCACACCTGACTCATGTCATCAGTTTTTGCAGTTCACACATTTGTAAGCAACTACTGTCAAAGATGAAGTGCAGGAAGAGTAAGATTTCATCAAAAATCTCTGATGAGCACCTTGAGAGCTCACTAAGGATTGCAACCTCTGCCATTGAACTACAGTGATTCATCAGTTTTAGAAAAGCAAGATCACATATTTCACTGTTTTTATGTTTTTTATGTTTAGTGTTTTCATAATAATTAAAAACAAAAACACATTAAATTTTGTTGCTTATATACATGAACTATATTTTGAGGGCTCCTCTGAAAGCTGTGCCTCCTATTTCATTAGGTTGGCCTACATCAGAAGCAGATATTGGTGGAATGGTAGTAGAGGCTGAACCTTCCCACCAAGGTTCCGTTCCTTTCTGTTGCTGTGTGACAGATGGCAGCAAGAGAGGCAGCCTGACAAAATGGCACCTGACATGGAAGTGCAGATGAAACAAAGAAGTGGAATTGAATTCCTCCATTCAGAAGAAATAGCACCCACTGGCATTCATCAATGCCTGCTGAATGTTTATGGAAATGAAACAGTGGATGTGAGCACACTGACGCTGCGCATTTCAGCAGCACTGACAGTGGGTCACCTCCCCTGGTGCAGACTGTTTTGTGTGCTGCATGCAGGCTCTTCTTGTTCATGGCTGGCAAAAATGCATAGCTAATAGTGACTGTGTTGAAAAAGAGTGTTTTGTAGATGGAAATTTGCTCTACTAGTGCTATTGGGCTCTGTATTGCTTATAGTTTGCATTTAAATAAATAAGAGGCATTACTTTCAGATGAACTTTCTAGGTGCAGCCCTAGGCAATGAGTCTTCACTCAATTCAGCACGGGCAAATCAAAAGGTACAGGCATTTCTTCATTTGTTTAAGTTCTAATTAAACACACGTCAAAATAAACATGCTAGCACGTCACCCCATATTGCCCATCTACATGCCTTCTGCAAGATGTTAAATGCAACTGTGTTTAGGTTGAACTTAATGTTAGTTACCTTTTAACACATTTAAAAATGCCATGAGTCCGTTAGCATTCATGTCTCAATTTATTCTGTAATTGCATTCAAAATACAAACATAAATATCTTAAGCATTTAACACAGTCTTTCAAACCACTGATGAGCCAGACTGACTTTCATTTTCTAAACACAGGCCTAACTCAACTGGGTTCAATAGAACTATTGCTACTTTTCCAGCAATGGACCTGTGAGCTGAATAACTAGCTCACGCTATCAAAACAGTTCTAGTTGTTTATGATCACTGGAGGAATACACTGTTTTTACATTCTGATTCATTAAAAACACAGCAAGATAGTCAAATTTGAGATCAGGGCTTGTGCTGTTCCCAGAGTGCCTGGCTGAGGTACTGCTCCACTTCTCACCAGAGCAGTGGAGCACCTCAGGCTGCATCACCAGTGCACTTACCTCAACATCTGTTTACTGCACAAACAAAATAAGCAGCACAGCTACAAGGAAAGTTCAATGCTAGAGGCCTTAGATAACAAATAAAAGCTAAACATAATGATTGTCTTATCTTTAGCCATCTTTCTCATCCACACATACAGGACATAGTTAAAATGACAGACTTAAAATAAACAAATATATTGCCTAAGCACCTGAATAGTTTTTGTTTTCTTTTGTTTTTTAAATTACTAGCCATATAAAAATAATGTTGATGTGTCTATATACATGCTATTTCCCTGGCAAAAACTGACACCTATCTGCCATTTATTCTTGTGTACCTCACCCAGAAGCTTATTTCAGGTGACACAGTCTTGCTGAAACACTGAGTTCAAGTACTGAAGGCAGCATGTGGCTCTTCCCAACAACAAAAACACTGGCAAACCTCACAAAGTTGCATAAATTCTGCTGCTGTACTGATGACAGCAAAGTATACAAAGTAATTTACTTTGCCTTCCACTATCTCCTAACATGCACAGTATGTGCTCCTGCATTTCGTCCCCAGTACTTTGTACTGTCTTTCTGCATCCAGACTGTTCTCTGACTTAGGAGGAAAGCAATGCCATGGGAGGGGAAAGAAAATCTTCTGATCTGATTGGTTCTTGATACTGGCTTTCCTGGTTCTGAGTGTACTCTGGTTAAAGAACAGCTCTGCCTTAATACCTGACACTCCTCTCAATCCCTAGCTATATGAAAAGAAAGTAAGTTGTTACTTCAAATACAATACTCTGTAAAACCAGACACTTTTCTTACAGTTCTGTGTTACTCTATAGCTCAACTGCTTTAAGTGATCAGCGAAGAGGTATCAGCAACGCATCACTTAAGTAGCATCATCAGTACACTGTCCATCGTTGCATTCTTAAACTAGAAGATTTTTAGAAGCAAGAGAATATCCGAAATAAATCCTTAAGGTTTGCTGGCACCTTCCATGTATTCTCCTCATCTGAAAACTGTAGAACTGTATAATGCTGACATAAAAAGGTCTGGCTCTGGTCTCTGCCTCCAGCAGTCTCTGTTGTTATGTTCAGAAACATTGTCAGAAACAGACTACATCCATTAAAACACACAAAGCCAGTTTACTTGGTGTTTAAGGGACAAATTATAATGCATCATAATGCAAAATAAAAGGCCCACTTGGCTTTCAGATATTTGTCCTCATTCACTACATCTTTCCATCCTTTGGCCTCATACTGAAAACAACTCTGCTGATAAAAAAGAAACATGCACGGAGAAATGTGTATTAAAAAAAAACCCATCAAATATTAAAATATTCCAAGGATTTTCTTACAAGTCTTCTTCCTTTGTCTACACTGTTCTTCATCAGCCTATCTTCATCTGAAAGCTTAAAAGGCCATTTCACTTCAAACAAATAAGCCTGGATAACTCTGTAGAGATGCAAGAGTCCTTAAACTGGATGTGAACAGGGACCTTGTGATTTTTTCTACAGCATCTAGTGCTCTGCAAACATCATCCTCACGTCTACAAGCGTCTCATGCTCCTTTTGACCTGCTTCTCCAGCAGTGAAGTGCCTCTGTAGGTTTAAACTCATTATGAAGACATCAAATACTATATATCTGTATCACAACCCCTCAATTAGTACCTGAAGCCTTAAAAAAAAATACAATGAATATGCAGATTAATGACTATCTATGTAGCCCGTGTAATTGGGAAGAGCAAATATGGTACACTGCACACAACTTCCTCTGTAATCATGTCAACATTCATGCCACACAACTATTGCTAGGGCTTTCTTACTTGCTTCTACACCAGCACCAATAGAAAGCAGCACACTCTAGCATCCAGGGAAAAGTAATTACTCAGTATGATTGGTGGTAAAAGAGCACCCTCTGAACATCCGGGCTGTGAGGGAAACAAAGAAGACAGGAAAGACAGGAAAACTAACCAAGGAGTTTAAAAGGAACAGAAGAATACACAAAACCCAACAGAGAAGTGAATTCTTTGTCTGTTAACACAACAAAAGCTGTTTCATGTCATCATCTTTAAGCATTTTAAACAGTGCTGTATACCTTAACACATGAAGCAAATCTGAAGAACTCTTCTACTTGGTGTCTTTTTTTCTACATCTCTGCTCAAGCAATGAGAAAGAAAAGTCCTTACTATTCAGAGTTCAGCTACAGTGGCTAATGCCCAAAGAGCCAGTATTCCAGAGGAACATCTTCCACGTGAATGCACTTTCCTTAGAGTCCACTACCAAAATTGTATTGTACAACTAATTGTTCTAATTGTACTACTGGCCCCAAAACACTAGGGCTACAAGGTACCTTCCCAAGCTACAACACAGCTACACTTGCACTGGTAAAGCACGGGGAAAATTACAATCTCAACTGAGAAATGGATGCATACCAACACTGAATGCTCAGTGTCAGGTTTTAAAGAGATCTAAGGACTTAGCAGCACAGTTAGTAGGCTTTCCAAAGTCCCCACATCTATCAGCATCACTAGGTGGTTAAATATCCTTAAAAATATGATCCTCCACCTTCCTGTGACTCTGAGCAACTCCACAGCTTGTATTTTTGACATTCAGTCAGCCATATTTTAAGATGCTTATTTTACTTATATTAAATTTCAACAGAAAACTCTACTGTGCTGTTCCATCGTGTTCGTAGTCTGTGCTGCTCTGGTTAAACCAAAGCCTATGCCTAAGCAACTTAGTGATACTATCTGTAGTTTTGGTAACTGTAGGATTTTCAGCTAAGGAAGACAAAAATTAAGCTAGAAAACACAATTCCACACAAAATTTGGTAAAAACAACTACTTAGAAATGCCAAGTGCTACAGAGGAACCACTGCAGGTTTGCTATTTTAACAACTACACGTGTGATTAAAAGTCCACTAAAAACTATGGAAAGACACCTCATGACTTACATGAGCTTTGGATCAGCTGTAAGGGCATTTCTTTGTCACTGCACTGAGACTGTTATATACAACAGTTAACAACCTGCAGTTACAACATTAAAGAAATGCCAATAATGAATACTTGAGTTGCTAACATGAGCAAATAGCTTTCTTATGAATAATATTATTTAACAGTATGGCTATGGACCGTCTCAATGATAAAGCAAAGCAAATTTTTAACATAGAAATTAAAGAGGCACCAGTACCACATAACTACATAATTTACTACATAAATTAAAATCTTAATGTAAATATATATGTATGTATATATATTATATATAAAAAAATTGCATCCCCTATGAGCTGCTGTTTGTACAACAACGTGCACCCTCAAAATCCTGAGCACTCCACTCTGTACTGTTGTTGAGAGCCAAGTTTCTGATTCACTTTCCAAGTTTACATTCACATCTTCTGTTTTCCACCTAAGGAAGTAAGGGATGCATAGGTTCAGAGTACTCACACAGCTGCAGTGTGCTGAGCAGGAAACAAGATCTTGTGCTGTGAAATAGGAATGTGTTCTAAGTATGACATCAAAGTTGTCTGGATCCCTCTACAGAAAGGTTCAGGAATCATTCAGGAACAACCTTATTCAGCTTTGAGTTCAGTAGATAACCTATATTAAGCTAATCAATATAATTTGATTGCAAGAAATGCACGGGCTTCTAAGTCACTTTTTGTCTATGATTTCAGTGCCTTTTTGAGGTCAGAATAGAAATTGGCCAGGGTACTAGCCATGGCAGTGTCTACTGCAGACTGAGGTAGCATCCCTCGCAGTTCGGTCTGAATATAGCCTGTTAAAAGGCTGTGGCTAGGACAGTCCTTAAGAGGGACGCAGAACCAGCCACATGGGTGATTGAATCCACGGACAAAATTAGGTCTCACCTCTCCGTAGTTAAGGCTTATACCTGTCATGAAAACAAATGAAAAAGGGGAAATGAATTTGAGGCAAATTAAAAAAATAAAGATACAGTGTATTTCATAGCAACTCCTTTTTCTGCTTGGAGAATTTAGAAGTACTTCTAGAAACACTTCTACATTTTTGGGTACTTTCACGCCTGAAAGCTGTCTGTTGTCCATCCAAACACATTCACATACAAGCAGGGCTTGACAAGCAGAAATCAACATTAAAAGACATTCCTTCCACTAGCTAACAAGCTTCTTACTCTTCTCATTTTGATGTATGAGCTGATACAGGCCACACAACTTGCCTTAACCATCCCACAGTCAACATAAATGACTCTTGGCACACAGAGATGGCTCCTGGGTAACGCAGTAACTTGTATACTTTTTCAAGTCTGTAGAACTTCTAAACACCTCTGAAATACTTGTTGGAGATCATCTTATAGCACTTTTGAATGTTTACTGCAGAACCATTATTAATTCAAATCATATCTTAAGCCAAGCAGTCACGGTAAGAATTAAGCAGAGTTGAGTGGTGCCTTACCACATGATAGAAGCCCATCCTCATAGCTTGTAGTGTAAGAAAAATCAACAAACTCCCTCGGTGCTATGATGTTCCAGAGCTGTCCGGCAGTGGTGTAGCGCATCACACAGCAGTTCTTGTTGAGTGAAAGAATGAGAGAAACAAAACAAAAGCATCTTAGCATAATAAATGACACTGTATTCATACTTGTCAGCAGCTAGCCTTTTCCACAGAGACGGCAGCTTCTATCAACTACCTGCTCTCCAGACAACTTCAGTGAGGTATGAAAGAAGGTGCTGCTTTAAACACTGAAGTTTGACAGACTTGCCATCTGCAGCTGCAGCAACTGAGAACATATGGCACCTTTAAACCTGACTACTGCTAAAACTACAGAACTGTAGCCACACCTGGAAACTAAAAGCCATGTATGTTTTATATGGCTTTCCCACTACCTAGGAAGTCCAAAAGGACCATGAATAAATTGCGAGACCACTCTCAGCAGCCAGAAAGCCTCATGCAAGGTTACCCACAGCATGTATATACACTATCCATGCATATAAATAAGCATGGAATAAAACAGGCAGAAAAACACCAGTACTTATTGGGACAAATGCTCTTCTGTAATGTTTCACACGAGTCTACATGCACTTCCCTTAAGAATCTAAACAAGTCTTCACCTCCTCAAACACTTCCACAATGTCCATTGTAGTCATTAAGCTGTCCCAGTCAAGCCTGTAAGGTCCAGGACGAATATGATCCACTATTCTGTTAGTAACATCTTCCACCACTCCTTGAGCTTTGTACCTAGAGAAACATAAGTTTATACTTAAAAGAGAGAAATTTTTATGAAGTAGTCTGTTAATCTGCAACAGCATATTTACTATAATACCCTGGTATCTGGAACTTTATAGTCAGTGGATAACTGCATTAGAAAGGCAGTACAGGAAAGATCTGAGCATGCATCTGTGTTTTTTTTATGCAATAAATATTATTATGAGAATAATACCCTTACGCTATAATCTGTATTTCTTAAATTGCAAATCAGAAGAATTGTCATGTTTCCTCTAACATGCTTTTTTGCTGCTCTTGAAAGGGGAGCAAGGGAGTCCACCAGGGAAAAGTAAAACTAACAACAACAACAAAAATGAGAGCAGAATACAATGAGAAAATTAGTTTTCATAAAGTAGGAGTAACGGTAGTAGACTCAAGATGAAGATAAACTACATTCTGCTTTGTAGCCTACTACGGTGCCAAATAATTTGGTGTAAGGCTGCAGAATGATCATTTGTTGTATTTTAAGTAGACAACAGATGTTTTGGTTACCTGAGTTACTGAGTTTCAAGTTCCTGAGGGGGTGGAATTGATCACAGTCATTATTTTCAAAACACTTCTTATCCATTGAGCAGCTCTTCTCAATAGTAGATAACTAGTGTCACAACTCCCTGATTTATTTACTTGTGCAGCTCACTCCCTTTTCACTCACAGTTACCTGGAATGAGGCCAACCTCAGCTGTTTTTCCTTCAGAGGACCATATTAAAGGGTCACGGCCTTGTAGTGTTGCATTTGGAAAGTTCTTCAAAGTGTGCTTTCTTAATCGGGTTTATACACAACCCCGCAGTCACTCGCATATAGCAGCCACTCTCCTGCTGGCAGTCATTCAAGTTACACAATCTGGTGTTGACAGTGTGCTGGTAGCTCTGCACAGGGTCAGTAGACACCCTGTACCCAGTACCATCACAAATTCACCAGAACAGAGTACCTAGAGTGTATTGGTCCTTGAGATTCTTATCACACACTATCTTTTCACAGGACTTTCCATTTCTTCAGATTGACGTTTTCTACTCAATACTTCTACCTGCAGATAACTACAAAACCAGTGACAAACTCATAGGAAGGCTCTACGTGTCATACACCTCTCCCACAACTACACGCTTTTTGTTCTATCAGTTCTATCAGTTTCATAGCCAGTAAGGGTGTCCAAACACTGTTTGTGTTGTCACTCAACAATGCTGCAAACCTACCAAACCTGTATGTGATTGCAGACCGTCTTTTTAAAATGCCTGGGCAATTCCCATTGTGCGGGAGCTTTGTGGTGTGCTCCATAGTTTTGATTGTTCATTATTCTAGACAGCAAACAAGCATGAAGCATCAAAATATAACACTAAAAAGAAACAGTATAGGTCTTTACAAGACAACAAGGCACAGCAGATGATTTACTTAGCTCCTCCTGCAGAAAATCTGTGTAATTTGTTCACAGCCATCGTTTCTAAACTACGAAGTATATTTGGGGAATCTTAAAAATTCAACCTCTTGGCAAGCATACTTACAGGTATCCGCTGAATTCTTCTGATGGTTTACGCCACACCACTGCATCTTTCTGGAAAAAAATTAAAGACATTATGTTAATAGTCATTTACAAACCCTTTTAAGATGTCCACAAAGTGCCTCAATTTGTCCAGAAGGCCAACTGTATCTTGGGCTGCTTCAAAAGGGGGGTGGCCAGCAGGAAGGTGATTGTCCTCCTCTGGTCTGCCCTCATGAGGCCTCATGTGGAGTACAGCATCCAGCTCCTGGCCCAGAACGGATCCAGAGGAGAGCTTGAAGACTATCAGAGTGCTTGAGCATCTCTTCTATGAAGACAGGATGATGAAGGAGAGCTTATTCAGCATGGAGGAATGAGGCTCTGGAGAGACTTCACTGCAGCCTTCCAGTACTTATTGGAGGCTGACAGGAAGGCTGGGGAGTGACTCTGTCAGAGACCATATTAATAGGACAAGAGATGAAGGCTTTAAACTAAAAGCTGGGAGATTCAGATTAGATGCCAGGAGGAAATTCTTTCTTCAGAGGGTGGTGAGGTGCCAGCATGGGCTGCCCAGTGAAGCTGGGGGTGCCCCATTCCTGGAGGTGTTCAGGCCTGGCTGGATGGGGCTCTGGGCAGTGGGGAACTAGGTGATTTTTAAGGTCCCTTCCAACCCAAACCATTCTGTGATTGTGAGAGGCTCGGGTGCTCTGTCCCTCCTTTTTAAGACCCTGAATTTGTTAATTTAGTAAATAACCAACTCATATTTGGAACACTTCGCCTCTGACCAATGCTAACAAAGGAAAATATAAGAACAACCGAAAGTGTTGTTATAAAGGGGAAAAGATAAAAATTGATGGCATTAAGCCTATCAAACAGCTAAGCCGAGATGCCAGAGCACTACTGTTAACATCTACACGACCTACACCTGCTAGCAGACACGGGAGGGGCCGCAGCACCACTCACAGTTTTCCTGGCGATCCGCCACTCGCTGTCGGCGATGCTGTGGTAGCGGAGCAGGGTGTTCTCCAGCTTGGTAGCCAGGGGCGCGGGATCCGGCAGCAGGTCCATCGGCGCTCTTCCTGTGCGAACACACGGCTCTCTACGCATTGCCACCGGACACCCCACCGCCCGGACCCGCCGGCTCTGAGCCCGCCCTCTACGTGCCCCCACTCCGCACTCAGCTCAGCGCAGCGCCAGCCCCGACCCGCTGCCAACCCCGCTCCGCACAGCCGCGGTTTCCACCTCGGTCCGCACCTCGCTTCCTGCTAACTCCGGCGGGCGGCCCGGCGTCTCGGTTCCGCGGCCCGATCGGCCGATGCCGGCAGCCAATGAGAACGCAGTTGTCTTCCGGCGCGGCCAATGGCGACGCTGCCCGCCTCGGCAGAGGATGCGGTTCGGGGCGGGGAAGGGAAGGGAACGGGGGAGCGTGACGGGCTCTGTCCCCGCCCACCGTGCCCGTCAGCTCGTATCGCGCGATGTGCCGCCGGGCCGCCGTCGCCCGCTATTGGCTGCAGCGGGGCGGGCGCGTGCTTTGATTGGGCGGAGGAGAGACGCATTCCGTCAGCTCCTGCCAGTCAGCGCGGTGCGAGGGTGCTGCCTTGCGGCCGCCGGCTGCTCGCGGGCTTTTGCGCAGGGCTGTGTGCTTCTTGCGGGCTGTTGCTCGGTTTGACATCCAGACCTTTCACCACAGAATGTTTGTTTCTTGCTGAAAACATGCACAGATTCTATCCAACCACTAAATACCACACAAGCTACTAAATCCAATTCACCGGCAGTCTGTTTTAATCCAGAGTGGACAAAAAGAAGAAAGCAAAAGTTAATTTTGTTAGACAAGCACATCAACAATGGAGACAGCTCATAATTCCTGCAGTGCTGTTGATAAGCCTCAACAAAAGACTTTTGTGGAAAACCTCTAATATTCTTCACGTCTGACCTTTAGACAGTTATTTGAATTCTTCTTTGTGTGTATTCAGGTGAATGTACATTGTGCTGCTACTCTGCTGTCAGTGACGGAAAGAAAATGTTTAGGGTTTTTTTTTTTTTTTTTTTTTGTGCAGGCCCACATGTAATGAAAGTCACATTAAAATTTCATTTTTATTTTTATTTGTATTAAATTATCTGTCTCGACCATTCCTTGTAAATGCAAAACCCAAAAGGCTTTGCGTGGCTTCTTAGCATTCATACGTACACAGATGCAACTTTCCAGGTAGGCAAAAATATAGCTAAATGACTTCCTTATTTTACTGATGTAGCCCTGATAGCATATGGCTCTATTCTAATGGGGGAGAGAGCAATTCATCTCATTTCTCACATCTCAAAGCACATATATAAGAAATAAGACTGTGTTAAGACTGTCACTGAGTCAAGCTAGATGTGAGTCAAAGGGGAGTTTGTGGAAATCAGAATGGCCAATCATCTCTATGGTTGTTAGACAGGATGCATTTCTGTTAGGTCAAATTGTAAGAAAAAATCATTGGATTTCAGGTCTCTGCAGTTGTAAATTGCAGTGCCATGAGGTTGGGAAGTAACAGTGGGTGCTGGTCTGGATCATAGTTTAGGCTGAGTAATATTTAAAAAATAAAACAACACAACAATCTCTTCACAAAATAGAAATTCTAGCTTTTTTTTTTAAAAAAAAAAAAAAAAAAAGTGTTTGTGGTTAAGCCACAAGATGGCAGAAAAGCAAAATAAATATTTTTTTGCTGAGGCAGCTGCACTTGGAAACTGTCTGAAAACAGATACGATGGAGAAATTGACTGATTTTTCTTATGGAAATGCTGCTAAAGCCTTAATAAATTATGAGTTAGGTATTACTTTAATTAGCATGGTCTGTGACCTGTACTAAATCATAGTACTGTACCTTTTCTTTACCTGCTGTTTGTTCTTTTGCTAGAGACAGCAAGTAAACAAGCTAGGCCTGATGGTTTCCTGTTTGGATTCCACTGGAATGTGGTGTGCATGAAAATGAGACGCAGAATAAAGTCTCTTTGTACCTGGAAGAAGAACCATGATTTTTCCTGAATGACGATTAATCCTCAATTTATATATTTTATTAGTGTGTGCTATCTGTGCCTTCAGGAAAAAAAAAAACAACATTCACATTATTCTCTAAGTTGACTGCAAAAGCAGTTAGGTTTTGCAAAACCAGTCAAATGCTGATGAGGTTCAGAAGGTATCTCACTTCGAAGAATAAAAGATAGAACTTGGATGGGACCCTGGGAAACTTGATTTAGTGCCCGATTTACTTGTTGGCCATCCTTCCCACATCAGAGTTTGGTTGTAGCTGATCTTGAAGTTCTTTCCAACCAAAGTCATTTTGTGATTCTATGGTAAGTGTTTTAAAATCATCTTTTTTCTTTATCTGCTTTTATCATTTGATATTAAGAAACTGTGATAGTCAGTTCCACAAGTGGATTTCGAATGAGTTGGTTATGTTCCTTTCTAGTTCTTTCTGTGCAATGTGAACAGACTGTTTTCTATCCCATCTTCATTCTCAAAACCTCATCAGGATGATATTAGTAGCAATAATATACAGTAACAGTGTATAGCTTTAGCATCAGTAATAGTTGTATAGAATCTTGAATCATTTAAACTGAAAAAGACTGTCAAGATCACCGTGTCCCTTAGTGCTGTGTCCACGTATCTCTTGATTATCTCCAGAGATGAGGGCTCCACCACATCCCTTGGCAGCCCCTTCCAATATATGACCACCCTCTTAGTGAAGAAGTTCTTCCTAATATCCAATCTAAACTCTCCCTGTACTGCTTGAGGTTGTTTCTGTCACTTGTCACCTGAGAAAAGAGACTGACACCCTGCTCACTGCAGTCTCCTGTAGGTGGTTGTACAGAGTGATGAGATCTCCCCACTGCATCCTCTAAACATCCCCGTTTCTTTAAACATCCCCAATTCTCTTGTTTTCCAGTCCCTCCACTAGCTCTGTTGCTCTTCTCTGCACATGCTCAAATAACTCAGCATCCCTGTACAGAGGGGCCCAAAATTGAATACTGTTCTTGAAGTGTGGTCTTATCGTGTACAGACAAACAGTCATTTCTCTAGTCCTGCTGACTGCACTGTTTCTGATGCAAGCCAGAGTGCCCTTAGTCTTCTTGGCCACCTTGGATGCACTGCTGGCTCACATTCAGATATATAGCTCATGGAGAGATGGAGTCAATCGCTTGGATGTGTCCTGTTCCACAAATCCTCCATAATACTACATAGAGCTGACTGTAATCCAGAGAACAGAACATGGGAGTTATTAATGTTCAGGAACTCTTGAACATTCTTCCAAGTGCAGCAAATTGAGTAAAAGACCAAAATCCATGTTTTTAATCTCTCTTGCCTTCGATGGTTTCTTGATACATTCACCACTCCACCTCATTTGTTGTGATGGTGGGTCTTCCAATCTCTAAGTACTCTCAAGTGCCAGAGAGCTTTCTGAATCTGATCTTTCACCTATGAAGTCTGTGTAAGAAGTATTTATTATTTCCAAACTGTGTGGAACATATTTTGGCCAGGCATTAATGACAATGTCAAGTGTTATCTTTAGTTTTGTCTGATATTTTATTACCTCTCCTTTCTGTTCCTAATCTTTTCATTTGTTGCCGCCATCTGTTTTGCCTTCTGCCAGGAACACATCTTATAACTAGGGGAGATGACTTTGATGATATGGCAATGGCAAAGAGATTTCTGTATTGAGCCTTTCAAGAAGTGCACTGTTCTGCAGGTGCAACAGCTTTGTTTTGGCCATGAATCAAAAGCACAGATAGCATATTGAAGAACTTTTTTGCACACAGGAAATTAATAGTAGTTTGTGGGTTTTCAGGCCAGTTAAGTCACCGTGGTCAATCTGTGCATACTTAGTTCCCCTGTCAATAAAAGAAGGAAAGCATAACTGGAAAAATAATCATCACATTTTATTAGCTCATATTTTGGACTACAGCACACTGCTTTGTGATTTTTTTGTTATTGAAATGTTGCTTCACTGTAAGTGTAAAAGCTTTAAAGTAAAGTTAAAAGCTTTATCTAAAGCAGCTGATACACGAAAGCAGTCTCTTCATTTAAAGCAGTCGCTTCATTGCCTTTTCTGTGAATTGTCCATGATTGTTGTGAAGCGTGTGAGTGCCATCAGCAAGGCATTATGGCTACAGGGGAGCCTGTTCTAATTTGTTATCTTAGTCATGTTGAAGAATTCCTAATTCGGTGTAGATGGAAGCTTGTTAGTGAGTAACAGAAGTAAATTCTTTGTGTGAATCTGAAAATCCATCAGGACTAATGCAAGTTTTCCTTGAGAAGAGAGGCATATTAGTCAGATTGCAGTCAGGAAATACGATTCAGGTTCAGAAAAACAAAACTCATATTTCAGAGAAATATGAAAACAAAAATAGAAAGTTGAGATGACATTTTTTTGAAGGGCAGATGTTGAACCAAAGCAAGGATTCTGCACTGAAATAATAAGATGATTTGATGTTAGATTTTGCCTAGGAGAACTTATAGCAACAGTTAACCTTGCTTGTGTATAAGGCTAATTCTTCTAGAAATGTGTTATCCTGAAAGTTTCCAGTAATGCACCTTCTCTGGAAATGTGTTACAATGAAAGCTTCTTGCAACTATCTGTCATTTTCCAGCAGTAACAAGTAAATACCATATTCATTTTCTCTGTTTCTCTTATAATTATTTCACTTATTACATCCCTTAGCAACACTGCAGGCTTTCATATTCTTTTCCAGCAGACATGCCATGAAAACTCTCTGCTCCGATGTTAGCAGAACTGGAAGCCTTGTTCATGCTACATTTACTTCTACAGTGTTTGTAATTTTTAAAAGTCAGTTTGAATATGCTAATTTTACAGATGTGTTTACCATTGTAACTATATACAGGACTAACATCATCATGAAGCTTATGTAAACATATATTTACGGTCATGATTTCTGTCAAGAAAAACATGAGTTCTTGTGACCCTTGTGATTTCCAGGCTAGAGAGAAATACTTGTTTTCAGTAATTTCTTTCTGTACAGTAAATGCACTGAAATATTTAACTGTCTTACCTTTCCTTCCCACAAATGGAATAGTAGCTGGAATGTTTTCCCTTGACTTTTTAATCATAACTTCTCTCTTTGTCTCATTCAGCCATTTATTTTTCTTCTTTAAACAGACACTCCCTACATCTTATTTTTCCTTTGAAAACTAACCATTTTATCTTATTTGTACAATGGGAACAGCAATATAGTACAACCAGGCTAAGTATATACAGCTTTAAGATCTTAAAGCACATTTGATAACTCTTCGTTTAAG